TTAGTTCTATTGAAATCGATTCATATTTAGATATAGCTCCAATATATGGTTTCGTTGGATTTGTTGAAAATGCTACCTAAAATTTCCAAAGTTTTCCCGCTTAAGGCATAATTGAGTCTAGTAGGGTGTGTTTGAAGTCGGGTTAAAATCGGTTCAGATTTAGATATAGCATCCATATATAGTCTGGTACTATTTCTTGTAAATTGTGTATAAAACTCCCAAAGTTTTTCCGCTTCAGCCACAATAGCACGCTTTAAATCGGGCCAGATTTGTATTTAATTTCCTCTCAAATGACTGCTCGATTTATATAGTTTTCAAGAGGAAATTTTGTATATATAATATGAATGTTAAGAGTGTCGTTCGTATAGCCCCATTTATCCTTTCCTTACTCGATTTTTTTCTTTACAATATTCTAGAATAAGTTCGTTCTATCCTTATGATTGAAAATATTTGACTTGTATTCCGCTTTTTAGCAGCATTCTAAATAAGAAAATAATGTTTATGATTAAAAATGTTTGGGTAGGTTATAAATGTTTTAAACTTACATACACTAACAAAAATCTATAGGTTATGAAATAAGAAATAACGTCTAAAATTTTGGTCTGTTGTTTCCCCACTTTATTTGGAAATATTCTAAGGTCTGGATAGAATTGCATATTTCGTCCACCTTATTACTATTTTAAATGTCCACCTCAATGTTGGAGTGTAGGGAAAGTTTGTACACGCCAAACTTAACGAATTTTTTCTTGTTTTTCTTTATTTATTTCAACCCTTAAGATTGAAAATATTTGTCTTGTATTCCGGCTTTATAATAGCATTCTAAAGTGAAGATTAAGGCTATGATTAAAAATGTTTGGGGTAGGTTATAAATGTTTAACACTTACCTACACTAACAATAATCTACAGATGTTGAAATAAGAAATAACGTCTAAAATTTTGGTCTGTTGTTTCCCCACTTTATTTGGAAATATTCTAAGGTCTAGATAGAATTGCATGGTACGGCAATATAAAATATGTTTAAGAAAATATCATTTAACCAGTTTAGAACTATATCAAATGTCCATCTCATATTGAAATGTTAAAAAGTTCATCCACGCCTGTCTTAACGACTTTACTTTTATTTATTTCAACCCTTAGAATTGACAATATTTGAATTTTTAGCAGCATTCTAAATGAGAAGATAAAGTTTAGGATTAGAACATGTTTGGGTAGGTTGTACATGTTTTAAACTTACCTACACTAACAATAATCTACAGATGTTGAAATAAGAAATAACGTCTTCACTTTTGGTCTGTGGTTTCCCCACTTTATTTGGAAATATTCTAATGTCTGGACGGAATTGCATGGTACGGCAATAAATTTAAGAAAATATCAGGTAACCAATACCGCAATGTGCACAACAATTCTTTATGGCCAAAAAGTTCCATTACAAATTCCGGCATTGGTTGGTCATATTTCAATTTATACACTTTTGTTGCTAGCGGCAAATCCGACAAAACATACTGTAAGGAAATTCCAACCAAAAATTATATACTTCCCAAGGGAAATACATACATACTATAAATTCAATTAAATTTATTATCTTAACAATGAATCATACATTGTTTGATTCTTCAAATCCGGTGCGTTCGTTCTTCACATCGTGTGCAGACTTTGTTTGCATTTTCCATAGATATTTCCTTCAACAACAAAATTATGTTTCGTAATGATCCAAACGTAATGAACAAAACATACACACACACACGAACCATAAACAACAACATACAGCCAACAAGAAAACTGCCTCCTTCTTAATTTATATATTTTTTGCTTCCATTTCATTTGTTTTATTGCAAAGCACCATCAGCAAAATAAATTAAAAAAAAAACAAATGGAAGCCACTAAATTATTGACTACTGCTGGCTGCTGCCAGCCACTCTTCTCTTGTCTGGCTGTCCCCGGCTGACTACATTTTACATTTTGTTGTTGTTTTATTTCATTCATTGACTAGTTCAATGTTAAAGTATTGGTATTTTAAGTTTAAAAATAAATTTTCCACACAAAACATTTACTATTTAGTAGGATATTCGGTTGTCGGTCGGTCGGCAAACTCACCCCACAATAGTTTTGTTTCAAGACAATACACAACCAGCCGTCTGTGTTTTGCGCTATTGCCCCTGCTGCTGCTGTTGTTGTCGCTGCTCAGCGGCCCTGACGCTGCTGCTGCCTCCCAATTTGTTATGTTGCCGTTGCTATTACAGCTGCTGCTGAGTTTAATTAAACACCAATACCACTAAATTAGAACACTTCATTTATTTTTCGATTTGAGCAGGACTTTTGCCTTTAATTTTCTTTTACATATTTTTTTATATTGATTTCACACACAATTTCCATTTCGCGATTTGCCTTCATTGACTATTGACCTTTATGCTTATTTTCTCTTACGTTTTCTTTCTTTAAATTTTCTTTATATATTTTTTGGATTTTTTTGTTATTTTCTTATTTGTATTTTTTTCTTATTTATTTTTTCTATGGGAAATATTTTTTTCACTTTGTTATTGTTGGAAGAGTTTGAGGCGACTGGCTACTTTGAATATTCGTTTCTATATTCGTGTCGTTCCGCAATGAACTAGTTCATTGAAATAATTCACGGAAATGAACGATTGGATCTAGATGTAGCTTTTTAGTGTATCTTGTTATTTTTTCTTATTTCGTTCCTTTCTTCCCATATTCTTTGTTCTTTCTCGTTCATTTTTCGAATGCTGTCACATTGTTAAATGAATGCATGGTACAATTATAAAAGGTAACAGCAAATCCCAGCTGATTTGATTCCAACGTAATACTAGTGTCAATATAAATTTGACAAATTATGTTTTTAAAAATCACCCAACAGGAAAATTGGGAACTCATACAATTTAAAATTGTTCTTTATTAAATGTGCTCCTGTATTCAATTTATTCAATCTGCCTGCTGGGATACCCAGCATTTTCATATGTGCTACACATATACATAAGTGGCAATGGCTCGATTATAGGAAAGATGTGGAAGCGATAGAAATATAAATTTGATAGATTTTCATTCATGTTTTTCAATTTTTATTTTGAGGATTCGAAAATAATTTGATGATAATTTGTTTCTTTGTTTACATTTTTCTGTCAAATGAGTTGACACTATTAGAACTTACAACAACAAATTTCCATGTGGTTGTTATATCGTTTTCTGTACTACAACACTTGATGTTACCTTTTATTATTATACCATGAACTCATGGTTTGAAAAAATTCTGTTCCAGAACCTAAAATTTTTTTTGCAAATTTTTATTTGGAACAACCGTGAACCACAAAACTGGTAAAACATTAATCAAACTTTTTGAAAATTTGGCCGAAAAAATGACAAAAAGAAAAAGTTATATAGTATATGTACAAAACGTACATTTAGATTTACTTTTAAATATATAAAATGCGCTCCAAATTTTTGATATGAAAGCAATTTTCACAATGTTTCCCCTTTACAAGAAAAAAATAAAAAAGTACATAGGAATAGGACCAAAAATATCAAATTACAGTGGGATCGGTTGCAAAAAATGTCCAGAAACTTTCAAAATTAGTAATTAATAATTTTTTATGGAAATTTGTTATCCAGTTAGACTTCATGATATTAAATAATAGATAATTAGGTTGGAACATGTATCTAAAAATCCAGAAAATGGCGAAATGTGGGTAGTTATTTAGTGTTTCCTATGAAGATTTGGACCCCTTTTCTAATTATTTTACTGAAATTTCAAAAAATGTATTTTTTTTTTTTTTTTGGTTTAATTTACAAAAACAAATATTGATAGATGTTTTGAAAATATAGATGACAAAGATTAGGGATGAAAGGGCATACATTTAATATATGACATCCATTAAAAAAACAGATGGTTTCAATTTTTGTGTAAGCTTGACTTTATATGGATGTAGGTGTTATTCTTAATGCCATGGTACTTGAACCATGGCACAATGAATAGGTAGTCCATTGCTAGAGCAGCTACAAGTGATTAACTGTCAAAGTGGATGATTAACTGAATTCGATGTGATATGATATATTTTTAACCATATTATAAAAAAATTTGTCTATGTCTTGGACAAAAAATAAGGTTTTTGTTTTGATACATCACCAAAAACAAACCCTTTTGACGTTTTTTTCTTTCTTTTGCATTTTAATTCGCAAATTTGGCGAAGAAAAATTTGCTAGTATAAAAGCAAAGCGAAAATTTCAAAAGAGAAAACAAAAAATTTGCCAAATAAAAATTTGCCTGTGGAAAAGCGGACTAAGTGTTTTTGTTATAAGTTTTTTTTTTCTCAGGATCTATTAAATCAAAATACATGGATGAAAAAAACATTTCATGACATTTTCTACTTATTTTTGGGATGAAATCACGACCTTTCAATAATTTTTCACAATTTTAGTTAGGTGTTGAAAATATGTCAAATAAACACAACCACCTGTTAAGCATGTTTTTTTTTTATTTGACAGAAGAAGCCATTACGTGCAATTTATTAACCTCAAGTTTTTTGCCGGGTTAACCTTTTCTATGTTAATTTATTTGTCATTTTACAATGTAAACGTACTATAATAGCTAAACAAACGGGTAACAAAAAGTTCTAATTTAAATGTCGTTTTATTTCGGATTGTCTATTTAACGGCATGTACATTAGATCTTTTAACTGGATTGACAATTTATACCCACTGGGCTAACGACATCCAGTACAATGTAATCGTACTGTCAGCTGTTTTTGACCATGATGTTAAAAATTAAACTAGTTCCGTTTTATGGTTCCTTTCTGGCAACCAATCAGCTGATTGATATTCTACCATGTTTCAACTTTTTGTTTCACATTCATTCGTAAACATGTCTTCCTCTATCCAAAGTGTGCAAACGTTTTTAAATTAGGTTGGTCATTTTCATTCGAATAAAGACGCTCGTTGAATTGGACTTGATTGTAAACAAACGGCGCGCGAAAATAAAATAAACCTGAAAAATGGATACGCCGGTATATGATGTCAATTTGGAGCAGTTTGAAGAGCCAGCAAGGAGCGTTGTGAAATCGATGTTGGCAAAACTGGTAAAAGAAATAATCCACGATTTTTGTTTCTTGTGATTAGATTTTAAAGACTCGGTGAGCATAGGGTATCGGCCGCAGTTTACCTTTTACAAGGGCATAGTTTTTTCATGCAAAATCCATATTTCCTGGTACATGAGGGACACGTCAATGTTGTAGCGGGTGAAGTCCGTATAATACAAATTTAGGGACAAATGCACTTGACGGACACCTCTCAGACCATTTTAAAATTTAAATTTTTGTTAATTCATCAACCTCTTCGAATTTACCCTTTTGAATTGAAGAAAAAAGTATGCCGCTGTAGTCAGTAATTAAACTTAACCTGTCAAATTATCGACCGGTCCTTATACTAGACTTTAGCCTAAACTAGTTTTTATAGGTTGTGGATCTTTTGGTTTATTCTAACACTGGGTGGAGTGCAGCTTCATCTGTCGCTCGAAGCAAAATACCTTGTCACAATCCTGGACTGTCAATTGGGATGGAATATGAACGCCGAGAAACGGGCGAAGAGAGGACAGATTGCCCTCTATGCATGCAAGAACTCCATTAAGAAAGGTACAAAGAGCCGCCTCGATTCTAATAACTGGAGCCGCGAGAAGCACTCCACAAGAAGCTCTGAACGCAATGCTGAACTTAAGGCCTTTGTGTCTCAGCATTAAGTGCCAGGCAGCGAGAAGTGCCCTAAGGCAGCATGAACAAAATCTATGGCGAAATTGTACCTACGGACATGGATGTATCCTGAACGAACTAGGTATGACATAGGACCAACGCGTAAAACTAAGCGAATATACATCACCAGTCCTGAGATTTGACGATATAGATGTCATTATCCCTAGTAGAGACGACTGGAACCGAAGTAACCCTCCTCTGGACGGTCTGGCTTTCTATACAGACGGATCCAAGATGAAAGAAGGTACAGCGGCTGGTGTCTACTGTGAAAGGCTAGGCGTCTACTGTGAAAGGCTAGGCGTCTACTGTGAAAGGCTAGGCGTCTACTGTGAAAGGCTAGGCCTTGAGCTTACATACAAGCTGGATAGCAACTGTAGTGTTTTCCAAGCTAAAATCTTCGCGATTTGGACGCAGCGGAATTGATAAAAAGTCTGAATGCAGAGGTGAATATCTTTGTGGATAGTCAGGCGTCTCTTAAAACCATCGGCTGTGTTAGATACCAAGACACTGTGGCATCACGGGTAATGAAAAAGCAGACGAATTAGCTAGACGAGCATCTCAATCTACAGATCTAACAATCGATTGCTCAATCAATCCACCAATCTGTCATCTGTCTTTCGGAACTTTGAGGCGTTCTTCGACGAATGAGCCAATGAACTCTGGCACAACGAACCTAGATACAATGTGTCAAGATCTATCTGGCCGACTCTGTCCACCAAGAGGACAAACTCACTGTTGATCTTGAGCAAAGCTTAAATTAGAGTAATGACAGGAGTTATTACTGGTCATTGCAATATCAGGGTATTTACCAGTAAATGGGACCATTATGTTACTGACTACTGCAGACTCTGTGCTGGCGAGAGGAGACGGTGTCCAGTTCTGGTCATCAGACGGCACAGAGTAGCGGGTGCTCACTTTATTATTAGTGGTCATTGCAATATCAGGGTCTTTACCAGTAAATGGGACCATTATGTTACTGACTACTGCAGACTCTGTGCTGGCGAGGAGGAGACGGTGTCCAGTTCTGGTCATCAGACGGCACAGACTAGCGGGTGCTCACTTTCCACTGTATCTAAGCGTCTTCTAAACCATAGAACCTGCTTTAATCTACAAACCTAAAGTGGTTTGAAAAGAGCAATCTTAGCACGTAGTATGTTTTTCTGTCCAATTTCTTTAGCCCTCGAAACTATTCTCATCTTCCTCCGAATAATAATATCTTCTTTTCTTTCCTTCATATTCATATGGCCTTCACTCGGGATATTTTCTATTTTTTATCGATGATATTTAAAAGTGTTCTTTTATATGGAATATTTCTTTTTATAATGGAATAATTCCGGCTTCTCTACTAAAAATTGTGATATTCTTTTAGAAAGGAATACATTCATATCGAGTATGAAATGTGGCTTATACAAGGCAGTAATGTAATGAAAATATTAATTCATTTGTCTTCATATGAGAAGACCATCAACGTGTATGAAAAGTTACGTTTTTATCTTGTATGAGGATATTTTTTTATCTGTAATAAAAATTCGTTTATAAATGTTCTGAGCTTTATCCTACATACTTCATAAGTACTCAGGTCTGCAAATCTTTATAAAACCTAATTATTTCGACTATATGATTTTTTTTGTAATTTTCGACATCTATGTGATCATCTGGTCCTCTATAAAAAATATTTGACAACTATATCCTGTGTTTTTTTTATCAATATCAAAATATTTATTAAAATGTTTTCTCATTTTTTTACAGGAACCAACTGAAGAAGACATCAAGCGAGTACTGTCAGAGGATGAACTAAAGGAATTGTGCCGAAAAGTTAAATGTCGCGTCGATGCCTTTCGTTGGAATCCCGTTGAGGATTACAATAGATATTTTAAACGACGAAATCGTTTTGTTGGCAAATCACCTCTGGAACAGAGACAACTACTTGCCAAAGCTGTAAATCGTTACTATCATATCAAATGGAAATTTAATGAGGAAGAAATGCGTAAGGAAAGGCGAAAAGAATGGATTATTCAAAAGAAAAATAATTTACTTTCATTGGATCTATGGGCATATGAAAGACAAAAAGAAGCTGGAGAACAAACACCAGTTTTGCAGATATCTGATTCGGAGAATTCAGAAAGTTTAGAGGTATTACAACCAACACAAATGCCTGAAATACAACGGCGTGAGAGTGAAGAGGAGGAATATGAGGAAATTCTACCAGATATACAACCGACACAAATGCCAGATATACAAAGTCAGGAAAGTGTGCACCGTGTACCACCATCACCATTGGTCCAAATGACGCAGCAAGTCGAAGAGGACGAGGAGGAGGAAAGCGATGAATCATCACTTCCAGCCGGTGTTCGTTTTGTGATCTCCGAATCATTGGAAGATGATGTGCCCGAGCCAAATTCGGAAGAGCAAATTTATATGGATAAAGAATCGGTCAATATTAATTCGGAAGAGCTACAAAAAAGAGGCATACCCGACAAACATGTCGTTAAAATGTTTCAGGTCAATACCGATTCGTTGACATTGACCTCGGAATTTCCGGAATCACAATCCATAACTGATTATAATAATGGTGTACATTCGCAGGATGTTATACATGATTATGATGACTTTGATATTGGTGTGCCACAAACTTCAACACAATCGCAGGGTGTTAGTAATTAGGAATGTGTTTTTTTTTTGTCCACTTCTGTTCGTAATTGTATTTGTTTTTTCTTGTATTCGTTAATAAATGTTGCTCGTGGATATATTATTTTAAAAAAATTAATTTAATACTTTGAGTAATTACTCATGATGATATACTGATATTATGACCTTTTGGTCTTCTATATGAGGACATTTTGGTCTTCTATAGGATGACTTTTTGGTCTCCTATAAGAAGACCTCTTGGTCTTCTAAGAAAAGACCTTTTGGTCTTCAAAGAGAAGACTTTCCGGTATTCTATTAGAAGACCCTTTGGCCTTCTATAAGAAGACCTTTTGGACTTCTAAAAGAAGTCCTTTTGGTCTTCTATAATAAATCCTTTTGTTCTTATATAAGAAGACATTTTGGTCTTTAATAAGAAGACCTCTTGGTCTTTAGTCTTCTATAAGAAGACCTATTGGTATTTGGTCTACTATGAGAAGACCTTTTGGTCTTCTTTGAGAATACCTTTTGGTCTTCTATAGGTAGACCTTTTGGTCTTCTATAAGAATACATATTGGTCTTCTATAAGAAAACCTATTGGTCTTCTATGAGACGAATTTTTGGTCTTCTATGGGAAGACCTTTTGGTCTTCTATGAGACCGCTTGGTCTTCCATAAGAGTAGTGAGGGTATGAATGGAAAAGACTTAAAGACTTCCTAATAAATACACAATTCCTAGGTTAGGTTTCGAGATGTACAGGCACTTATTTGGCTGCAGCACTCTCAGACCGTCAGGTCCATTGTAATCATCCGCGTAAAGAAAAAGATATGGAGAGATCTATGGTGGAGAAAAGAAGGGGGTAGAGAGACGAGAAGCTTACAAGAAAGTGCTTGTAGGCTCGTTCAGGATACATGCATGCCCGTAGGTCTTCTATAAGAAGACCTATTGGTCTTCTATGAGACGAATTTTTGGTCTTCTATGGGAAGACCTTTTGGTCTTCTATGAGACCTCTTGGTCTTCCATAAGAGTAGTGAGGGTATGAATGGAAAAGACTTAAAGACTTCCTAATAAATACTCAGTTCCTAGGTTAGGTTAGATTTCGAGATGTACAGTCACTTATGTGGCTGCAGCACTCTGAGACCGTCAGGTCCATTGTAATCATCCACGTAAAGAAAAAGATATGGAGAGATCTATGGTGGAGAAAAGAAGGGGGATAGAGAGAGAGAGACAAGAAGCTTACAAGAAAGTGTTTGTAGGCTAACTCAAGGCCTAGCCTTTCGCAGTAGACGCCAGCCCCTGTACCTTCTTCCATCTTGGATCCGTCTGTATAGAAAGCCAGACCGTTCAGAGTTGGATTACTCGGGTTCCAGTCGTCTTTACTAGGATTAACGACATCTACATCGTCAAATCTCAGGACTGGTGATATATAGTCGATTAGTTTAGCGCATTGATCCAATGTCATATCTAGTTCGTTCAGGATACATGCATGCCTGTAGGTACAATTTCGACATAGATTTTGTTAATGCAGCCTGAAACTTAATGCTGAGGCCCAGAGGCTTTAAGTTCAGCATTGCGTTCAGAGCTGCTTGTGGGGTGCTCCTCATGGCTCCTGTTATTAAAATCGAGTCGACTCTTTGTACCTTTTCTAATTTGCTGCATGTCGACTTGAGGCGCAAGCAGTTCCACCAAACAAGAGAACCATAGGAAAGGATGGGCCTTATCACGGTGTTATACAACCAGTGTATAGTCGATGCTTTTAGCCCCCAGAAATATAAGGAGATTAATTTCAAAGTTATTCAGAGCACACAACAGACCCTGTATTTCAAACCATGCAGTGAATTGATACCCCTCTTCTCAAAGTAAACAAATAACCGATTCCAACCGATTTAAATCCAAAAAAAAAACATATTCTTTTAAGGTTAGTTATTTTATATGGATTTTTCTTTATTATTTATTTGTATGTGTATATACATAAATATTTATATATGCTGTTTTGTTTTTTGGTTTCTTATTTTTGTTGTTGTCTTGTATAAGTTATAGTTCCACCTTTATATAATTTTCACGCTTATTATTTATTTGGTATATATAATTTTCTTCAATATTTGTTTTTTTTTTCTTTTGTTCTGTATTTGTTCAGTTTTATATATAGTATATATATGTATATAGTGTGGTTTGCTCATACTGCACAAAGATACAATATTTATATATTTAATAATAATATTTTCAATTTTATGTTGTTTTTTTGTTTTATATTAATAATATATATTTTGTTAAACAAAATGTTTTCGCGTTAAATTTGTTTATCAATTGTGTTGTTTTGTTTTTAATTTTTGTTTCCTTTATAAAGAAATTAATTAAATTATTATACCTGTTAACAATGTTGTGTCGTCTTTTGTATTGGGGTTTAATATTTGTTTAAAATAAATTTGAAAAAATTGAATTTAAATAAAAATAACAGTAGCTACTTTGAATGTTTGGAAAAAAATCAGAGTTAAATTTTAAAATATTTAAAATAAAACATTTCCAAGCAACCAATCAATCAGCTGATTTATTTTTACCACTTTGCATAGCCATACATTCAGTTTTCTTATAAAAAATAATATATCTTTTTTTAATTTTGTAGTTTAATTCCAAATTGTATTATTTACACAATATTTATATATGTATATTTTTTGTTTTTTTTTTGTAGTTTTTTATTGTATCGTGTAAGAAAAAAATATATATGTAATGTCATTTCAAAAAAACGTTGTGTTTCTTCTGCTTATGTTGTTGTTTTACCTTTTATACGGTTTGTTTTTATTTCAGACTGAGTTTTTAACATTTCAGGATTATCTTAGAAATTCTACTATTTGTTTTCCTGTTAAGCTTCCTCCTTTTTTTAAATTTTTTATTTATTTATTTTTCCGGTAACACCTGTTGATATTGTCTTTGAGCTTTTTGTTTTATAAATTTCTTTCGTATTTAATAATTTTTTATTAGTTGGTTTGCTTCAATAGAGTTGTAAGCTTTTTTTTAAAGAAGACAGAAGTTAGTTTTTTTCAAAAAAAAAAAAAATAGTTGTTTAGAGAAAGAGATTCGGTTAACAGTTTGGTGACTAAACTAAATGTAATCTTGTAAAAAAATAAAAACATATAGGTTCATATATAGTTCTTTTTTGGATATTATAAAAAATATGGGACCAGGATCTATTAAAAAGGTCACCCAGATAGTCAGCTTTTTTTCTCAAGTCTAATGTCAAAATTTTGGCTTTTCTTTACGTTTTCATAATGGAAATCAATTCACAATAATGGACTTTGACAGCAAATTTAAAAGGCAGCAGCTACCTCTCAAATTTGCTATCAAAATTCATTATTGTCAATTGACATCCATTTTAAAAATGTAAACAAACTCTAAATTGACTTTAGACTTAAGAAAAAAACATCTGACTTTCGTTTGCTGGGTGTCCCTATTAATATATCTTTTATTAATATGGTTATCTAAGGAGACCAGCTGGATATAAACTGCCTCTCAAATTTCCTGTCAATATCCATTATTCTGAATTGAATTATGAAAACATATTTTTTCAATTTAATTGAGAAATAATTCAAAGATTTTGACAGCATTGAGAAACAGCTGATCCCAGCAAGATCAGCTGTTTCTCAAGTTTGCTATAAGACCTAGCACACGACTTTTATATGTATATGAATAACTTTTGCAGACTTTTCAAATATTGATATTCTATACGCATCAATATTTTAAAAATATGTCGATAGAGGCAGCTGATATCTACCTTGTCTTCCTGAATGACCTAATTAATAGGCCTTGTTTTTATATATGACCAAGATCTATTTATAATCGGAAAACATTTCATTTTTTTCAATTTAATTGATAAATAATTGTACGTTATATCAGTTTTCATAATGTTAAGTCAATTTACAATAATAGATTTTGACAGCAAACTTGAGAAACGCTTGATCCCAGAAAGATCAGCAACAATGCCTTTTAATAACGTTATCCAGGGAGACCAGTTGCATATCAGCTGTTTCTCATGTTCCATTAAGAAAACTTGCGAAAAAAGATGACTTTCTCTTTCTGGGTGACTTATTTAATAGATATTGATCTGTAATTAGCTTTTTAAGGCCTATTTATATGTTATTATTGTGAATTGACTTCACATTGTGAAAACGTAAATAACGTACACATTTTTGACATTAAACTTTTAAGAAAACTTTTCGCTCATGGCCCAATAATAAGGTCGTTCGATAAGGCCAGATTTTATCACCCGAGTTGTCAAAATGCTTTCAATTTTGACTTAATCGCATGAAACGTAAACAACAAATTTGAGGGATTTTCAACCAAATTTCCCGATAATATTCGCCTCTTACGCAACCTGTTAAATGGTTTTCATATTGCGAATTCAATTCACAATAATATATTTTAATAGCAAACGATCGTATTATCTCAGTTGATCGTATTATCTCAGTTCCAGAACCTGCAAGAATCTACTATTAATTATTTTTTTTTTTTCATATTGTGTACAGGAACCCATAATAAAATTTGCCTTGGACCATGGTACATCAACAGCTGATCATATAATTCTTGTAATGTTGACAACTATGAGAGTTACAGTAGTGAAATATTTGTGTGTGTGGTTTTTTTAAGTAAAACATTCACCATAAATATTTGTTCTCGAGGCAAAAAAAATATTCTCGAGGACGATACAATTTTGTCAATTTTGTTCATATGCTTAAAAAATAATGAAAATGCTGAAAAAGGTTTGACATTGACCGGCATATTTCCAACAACTCTATAACATTTTTTTTCGCAGTATCCGACATCTCTATACAGCCATTCCCTTTGAAAAAAACGTCACAAATAAGAATATGCTTGATGCCTTCACCGCACACACGTCAAAATCGAACGTCATGCATGCGAAAAATCAAAAAATTTTGATTTTGCTTCTTGCATCGTAGGTGTGACACATACATACAAATTTTCACTAACACCACAAAAAGAATGTCATGCATGCATGACCGTTTACGGGTCACTTTAAGTTTAAT